CAGTTGCTTCGGGTAGCCTAGGACCGGGAACAGTGGAAGCTGTACGCCCGGGGATCAGTGCAAAGGCAGACGCGCCGGGAGTCTCATGACCGAGAATTTTGTGAGCTGGCCGCCCGGGTGTCACTGCAACAGCAGGCACGCCGGGAGTCTCAAGACCGCGAACGGTGTGAGCTGGGCGCCCGGGTGTCGGTGTGAAAGCCGACACGCCGGGAGTCTCACGGCGAAGAGTGTTATGAGCTAGCCGCCCGGATGTCTGTGCAAAAGGAGACACGCCGGGAGTCTCAAGACCGCGAACGGTGTGAGCTGGGCGCCCGGGTGTCGGTGTGAAAGCCGACACGCCGGGAGTCTCATGACGGAGAATGTTGTGAGCTGGCCGCCCGGGTGTCACTGCAACAGCAGGCACGCCGGGAGTCTCAAGACCGCGAACGGTGTGAGCTGGGCGCCCGGGTGTCGGTGTGAAAGCCGACACGCCGGGAGTCTCACGGCGAGGAGTGTTATGAGCTAGCCGCCCGGGTGTCTGTGCAAAAGTAGACACGCCGGGAGTCTCAAGACCGCGAACGGTGTGAGCTGGGCGCCCGGGTGTCGGTGTGAAAGCCGACACGCCGGGAGTCTCATGACGGAGAGTGTTGTGAGCTGGCCGCCCGGGTGTCACTGCAACAGTAGGCACGCCGGGAGTCTCAAGACCGCGAACGGTGTGAGCTGGGCGCCCGGGTGTCGGTGTGAAAGCCGACACGCCGGGAGTCTCACGACGAAGAGTGGAAGTGTTATGAGCTGGCCGCCCGGTTGTCGATGCGAGAGCAGACACGCCGGGAGTCTCAAGACCGCGAACGGTGTGAGCTGGGCGCCCGGTTGTCGACGCGAACGCGGACACGCCGGGAGTCTCATGACGGAAAGTGTTGTGAGCTGGCCGCCCGGTTGTCGATGCACGAGCAGACACGCCGGGAGTCTCAAGACCGCGAACGGTGTGAGCTGGGCGCCCGGGTGTCGGTGTGAAAGCCGACACGCCGGGAGTCTCATGACGGGGAGTGTTGTGAGCTGGCCGCCCGGGTGACACTGCAACAGCAGGCACGCCGGGAGTCTCAAGACCGCGAACGGTGTGAGCTGGGCGCCCGGGTGTCGGTGTGAGAGCCGACACGCCGGGAGTCTCACGACGAAGAGTGAAAGTGTTATGAGCTGGCCGCCCGGTTGTCGATGCGAGAGCAGACACGCCGGGAGTCTCAAGACCGCGAACGGTGTGAGCTGGGCGCCCGGTTGTCGACGCGAACGCGGACACGCCGGGAGTCTCATGACGGAAAGTGTTGTGAGCTGGCCGCCCGGTTGTCGATGCACGAGCAGACACGCCGGGAGTCTCAACACCGCGAACGGTGTGAGCTGGGCGCCCGGGTGTCCATGGAAAATCGGACACGCCGGGAGTCTCACAACGAGGAGTGTTATGAGGAAGAAAAAGTGATGGAGGGCCACCGAGGGTCGATAGAAAAGCGTCAGTCCCCGGAGCCCGTGTGAGCCTCCGGGAGGCCCGGAGGCGGCTGCGGCGACTCGATCTCGTGGATTGTGTTTTTGACGCGGCCGGCGGAGAGTAGAAATTTCTTACCACCGCCGGCCGTAGCCGTTTCCCTGTGTCTGAGGCGGGCGCTGCCGTTCGCTGCAGTCCCGGTGTATGTGTCCTGGCTGGTCGCATCGAAAACAACGGGGCGTGACCCGCCCGTCGGCTTCGTGCGGTGTCCCGCTCTCTTTTGCCTCTCCCGAGCTCCGCGTTACCGGTCCAGAGGACAAGAACTCATCTTGACCAATGGAGGGGCTGTAGCGTTGTGATTGCGTGCCTTCGTAACCGCTGCACCTCCGTGAGCCGTATGCACGAGGATCTAGGGTTCGTGATTCGTATGCACGAGGATCTGGGGTTCGGGGGACGGGCGCCTGATTGGAATCGTCTTGTTCTCTCTCGACTCTATGTGCACGTGCGTTTCCAGACCACGCAAATGATGGTTCCAGAGTCATGTTCTGCGGTGGAGGGGGTCGGTATCTTAGTTCCGCGAGGATGTCGGCCTGGATGGTGATTGCCTCCCGTGCCATATCGTCTAAATTCGTAAAGGTACGTCCCCTGAGATGGGGATGGAAACGCGGGTGGCTTTGGCGGATGGCGCGTTGTACTTTCTCCGCGTCCGGTGCCGCGGCGTCGGCGATATCGTACAGGCCCTGGAGAGCCCTTACAAACTCAATAAGTGACTCTTCCGGGTGCTGTGTGCGCGCGCGCAGCTCGTCCTTTATCCGCACGCTGTAATCCGGAGGCAGGAACTCCATCCTAAATCGTGCCTCAAAATCTGACATACTTGTGAATTTAGTTTGTCTTTGCCTCCACAGTGCTGCACTGTCTGTCAGTGCAACCGGCAAAAGGCGGGTGAGGATGGATTCGTCGTCAATTCCCGACGCAGCTTGGTAGTCCCGCAGTTCCGAGACGAACATCGCAACTGACTTTCTATCTGCGTACCCCGAAAAAACCGGAACGCTAAGCGAGAGCCTTAGGAAGTCCCTGGGGGGCGTACTTCCAGCAGGAGTGGGTCTTGAGCGCATCATCTGCTCTCGTTGTATGTTAAGAAGCATGGTCATGGCCACTCTTAGTTCTGCCAGACCACCCTCTAATGATGCGTCTACCGGGACTGAGACTGCAGGCTTAGCGTCTGGTTTTATGTCACTGGCGGCGTTATCCGCGAGTGCACCGAGCGTCAAAAGGTCGTCCTCACTCACGTTTCTGTTGGCGTCCTCTGTAGACGGCATCATGTTGTAGTGGAGACTTGCGCAGTTCGATGAACGTGGGCTTCCGAAGAAACGCCCCCTCAACTTTGGGCAAACTCAGGAACGCAAAATTGACTATGTAAAACGTAAGAACGAACCCAGTTTGCTGCCATCCTCCCAGACGAGCAGCATATCACGTCTGGGCGCCAGTGTGGGATTTCCCTTGCTGCTACCCGTCTCGGAGAATGACACAGCACACCGGTTCAACAACACGTAAACATTTAATGACCGCTATCGCCTGCGCCGCGATCCCAACAGCCCCCGCGCATCCGCTGCGACGGCCTTTTATCAGCGGCGGAGCGCCGCTCGCGTGGCCAGTTGCCCTTGGCCCCCTCGTGGCCAAGATGACCACTTATGATTGTCGGAGGGGCAACCTGGGCCAACCGCTTGGAATCGCCAGGTTGCCCACACACTTCGGCAGTATAGTATGGTGATGGTGACTGATGTAACGCGTACATTGTATGGGCGAACACTGTCTCCTCTCTTCCGAGCAGCAAGAGACTGCCGGACATATCACAGAACCCTCGGTATAAAAGGAGGTACAAAAGTACTTAAAACAATTCAGGGTTCTCAGTGTGGGAATATCAAGCTCAGTAACTGCACCCAGATCTGTGTTTTGAGCTCAAATGTCAGCTGTGCCGCCACCCGCGCGATCTCCTTCCAGAAATCAAAACCTTTGATACTCTGTGTGCTTTCCTTTTTGTGTGTGAGTTGCTTTATATTCGAGTGGTTGCCGTATCCACTTTAGATGATCATGCCCTTGCTCATTGGGAATTCTTTTATTCCGAGGAAAAGGATGACAGTTATGAATGCCTCCAGGCTCTTAGAAGCACATCTAAACTGTATCACAACCTAATGAGATCATGCAGAGATATCGGCCCTTTGCTGGCAACTAGGCCACTGGATCTCAATGAGAAGTCTGAAGATTCACACGAGTTGCCTACACTGCTCTGTGATTCTCTTTGTTGATGCCCCGCGTATCACTTTGATAGGCGCAGAGACGGTTTGGGACACTATTATTTTTGCGTATTATATGGCCTGTCTTTTTCTTTGACAGCTTAGTTGACTTGCAGACAAGTAGGCTTAGAGGTGGTTCAAGAAGCCTTAAACAGGAACGCACACAATAGTGTTGCGCGTATATTAAGACATCTGAAAGTCAACCCTAGTGGGTGTTTGGTGTTTCCGCTGTTGATGAGAAATTTAGCCAAAGCATTACCACTGACAGCTCGGGGTCTATTTTGCATCATGCAGTACTCATATCCGAACGGTCTCCGGCACGATGGTCATTTAGATGGTAACAGGCAGTGATGGGTATTGAACTCAAACCCACGTCGAATACTTCAGCAGAGACACATTTGGACGAAGCATATTCAATCTTGTTTAAGATTGCTGTTTCGGCAAGTTGGTTGTTCATACCTCTAATGTTACAGCGTACATTATGCGTGCCTGTATTTTGCGCGCTGTAACGACGGAGGAATATTAAAGTACACCCACATTTCGAGGACAAACAGCTATACGCCACGAGGTCTGACACCCGTTAGTTTGAAGAGGCGGTCCGCCGTTCGGGAACACCAAGTGGATATTAAATGTACATTTATTTAAAAATCTGAGCTGTCAATAAAAAATCAGCACGCAAATGCTTAGTCTCAAGTTTTGTTTTACAGCCTGACGGCCGCCATAACAATTAAGCTTTCACGACTGTCACATTCGCTTCAGATATACCGCAAGAACAAAGCAGGATTGAAAGTGAGTGTTGGTTAATATACGAGTAGATAAAGACGAACCTATACGCTTAGAGAGCGAGATGGACGCAAATGTTTTCATTTGGTACCACAGGCATGCATTTGAGCACTCTTTAAATATACCCCTGCTTGGAATTTTCGAAAGAGCGCTCCTAGATGGCAAGGCTTTCGCGGTGGTTGTCTCAGGTCACCTGCCAGAGGCCACCAAGTGGGGACAGACTGAACGTGAGTGCTGCATTATAGTGTTGAGCTGGGACTCGTGTTCCAATACGTGCCCCGCACTGGCCTATGGTGGGTAACGTAGAAAACTAAGCACTGCGGCCTTTTTAGCTTGTTCTTATATTACGAGAAACCATGGTGCCAAGTTCATCTGCTCACTACGACGGCAGTCTAATGATGTGAATACTGGCTTTTGCACCTGGTGTTGTAGATGTCAGAATGGCTTATTTGGTGCTATTTTCTCATCAGGGGGCCGGTACGCCCGGAGACTACAGGAGGGCCGCGTGTCGGTCATTAGCAACAAGGATTGCGACGGCACTCTGCAGCAGTCCTCAAGCTACAAGACCTACATACCGCAGGGTGTCACAGACGACTTCGTCTGCGCCGTCAATCACACCGGCGTTGACGCCTGTCAGGTAAGGAGTTAGTTCCGTGTTTATTTCTTGAGTTGCTGTTGGCTTGAGTTGATTAGTTGTTAATGCCAGTTGCTTTTTGACATGCTGACGTTAGGCTGAATGAAAAACATTGATCTCAGAACAAGGTTATGCAAACGTTTCAATCCGCGAAGCCGTGTAGGTGTACCAAAGCAATGTTCAGTTTTTACACTCGCCTACGCAGATATATAAAAAAGCGCATACTATATACGTTCGCATTAATGCTTCGGAACCTTTGATTTGGTTTTCAAGGTTCTTGACCTTTCAAAGTGGTTGGCCGGTGTTTAGAACGCGTATTTTATAATCATGGTCCTAGTCGTGCACTCTCATCACTGTCTCGTGATTTGAATTTATTTCTCGCTTTATTACTTTTAATCTTGTTTTTTGTTCATCCTTATTTACGCTTTATCTTGGCCTCTCTCAGTAGCGCGTAAGACTCGGTGCTCAAAATGTTTGAGAGTGCAACTCTTAGGGGCCCGTTCCCGGCCTGAGCGGCGTCGCTGTCGGCGTCGGCGTAACCGCAAGGTCACGTGACCCCTTTCCGATGTCACGTGACCTCAGGGGGTCACGTCAGGGGGGTCACGTTCAGGTCACGTGATCCCCCTGACGTCACACATCCCCCCCAAGGTCACGTGACTCCACCCCAAGGTCACGTGCCGCCCCTGAGGTTACGTGACCCTTCTTCAGGTCACGTGACTCCCCTCAGGTAACGTGACCCCCCTGACGTCACTCGACCTCCCTGAGGTCAGGTGACCCCCTCAGGTCACGTTACCTCAATGAGTCAGCTATCTCTCAGTACCCTTCCATCCTCCTCCTCAAGAGCTGCACTCTAATCCGGCGTTACAGGGAACTGTAAACGGCTTTCATTTTTTTTTCTTGATCCCTAAGTGCCTTAGATGCGTCCATTCAAGAGTGATGATAAATCACGTTTATTAACAATGTGTAAAAAGTTTTCCTCTAAGCTGCAGCTCCCGTACTTGTGGGATACCCCTTAGATCTGGGAGTTGAGGGATGTCAATTTCATTGGACTAAAATGGTCAAAGCGGCATTCGGCTGAGTCGGTACGCTACTTATAAAAATTAGCAGCGCCTAAACCGCCGACGACAAAGCCGAGATAAGTATTCACGGTACAAGCCAACGTTCCTCGGTGTCCGCACGCAGGCAGGTATGGGCGAATAGCGATACTAGTGCCTCGGCTCCCAAGTGCAACAAAGAAGGACCTTTTTCAAACCAATCTCATTTTTGCGCAAACATTAGCGGAAAGAGCTGACCAAAGGAACCGAAATAGAATCACTTTCCACCGCAGGCAAAGTTCATTCACGCGTTCCACTGATTCCGTCGCTTTTGTGAATATGGGTGGGGCTAATAGCGTAGCGAGCCCCATTGAGAGGACGAGCCACGAAAAAGCTCCAGGCGCTTTAGGAAGCTCGTCAGTTAACTTTGGTCTAGTAACGTTGCTACAAGCGGCGTGCAGACTTGTTTCCCCTTTGTGTTCGTCTCTTGGAGGGCTGGTTATTTCATTCCTAGGGTCACCCAACCATGAGATAGTGAGCGGCCGTCCATTAGCACCACGACAGCCAAATCTAGCGGTAAACTCAGTGGCAATAATTTCTGCGCTAAATATAGCAGGACAGCTCGAATTGACCTTTGCTTGACCCAGCGTCACCCAAGTGACACCCCTTTAACGACTTGGGGTCCACCTGGTTCCACCGGAACATGGCGCGCAGAGCATCAGGCAGTCGATGTGCGAAGACGGGCTGAGGTCGTTTCTATAGAACTCATTTAATTACATATCTACAACGAAGAGGCGAGGGCACAACGTTCTCAGTCAGCAGCATCTTGGTCTGATTCTATATGAGTCGAATATGTGCTCTATTTGGCTCTCGCGCCTCTCACGCGCGTTTCGACACTTCTACGTTTTCGTTCAAACCCGAAGCCGCCTCAGCTTCTTTTTCTTCTCTCGGAGGTGTCGTCGGTGTCGGCCCCGTAGGACGGGTGGACTTCCCCGCCTCACAGCGTCCCGCGAAGGCCCTTGGTTACAGAGATGCTAATCCCCTGGGCGCCGCGCTTAAGGATGTGCCGGTCTTTGGGAACCCCCAGATGTATCAGCACGAGCCCCCCTGACGTTTCTTGCGGCGGCATGTTAGGGCTACTGTCCCGCTGGTAGAGCGCTGGAAGCCGTCAGAATGGGCGATGGGGTGCTGTCTCAGGGGCTCGTGGGCGCCGTTAATAGGAAGTCGGAACCACCTGAATAGTGGTCGAATTCCTTGGCTGGGTCGTTACACTGCGTCACATGCCGCGACGTCTAGGGACACTGACGTAATTTAACCATACGTCACAGAACGTCAGACTCATGTGACATCATGTGATGCAACATCACTGCGACAGCACTTACGCTATATCCTAGCCTCACATGATTTGACGCCATGTAACACTGTGATGTATGACATGTCCCGCATATGCATACCCATGCATACCCGCAGTACAATGAAATTAAAAAAAATAATTAAGTCGCATGACGTCACATTTATGTCACGTCTCATGACTGTGACGTCTTGTCACAAATCTACATGATGTGACACCAAGGGACACTGAGACAAAACATGTGACGCAGTGTCGACGTCACGGTGTCGACTTGTTGACGTGTCACAATGTTCAGGCGACGTCGCAGGGTCAACAGACGTCTGCGATGTAGCATGCACAGGATCCCAAATGCTCTCCATTACATCTGCTTTGAGAACAAGCAGAGAGAAGACATAAACTTTAACACAATATGTTTTATAATCCTTGAGAAAACGGTCATAAAGAACCGTCACGAAGAGCCGCCATAAAAACCGTTACGAAGGGTTGCGACGTCCGGGGCCACCGACGTTATCATGACGTCACCGTTACGTCACGTGCAACCGTGACCGACATGCCACACCGTGACGTAACATGACACCACGACGGCGCGTGATGTTATAGTCATGTGACCTCATGATGTGACCCACACATAACATGTGCCAAGCTCATTCACAACACATTTTGGACTCCCTGTGGTCATAGTAAGCATGATCAAGCGGACGTAATATTTTTTATCGGCACCTCGCGTGGTCTTAGGGCTACAGTAATTCCCGTACTACAGTCTGCGCCTGGTCAATAAACCGCGGGGGCCGGTCTTCGGTTGAGGAAAACGAGTTTTCACTGATAGCCCGCACCCGGTGCATAGTGCGCAGCCGCTGCTTAGTTCACTCACAGTGCATTGTCTGTTCATCAAAAATTAAGAGCCCCTCCACCCCGTGAAGAGCGGCATCCAGCGAAGCTGGCGCTCTGGTAGAGACAATGACGTTTTATTATAGCGCGGCTACGCCAATCACGGCGCAGGCTCTATCTAGTGCGCCGCAAAGGTGGCCGCCGAAGAGCGCGCGGCAATGCGCAATGTCAGGGAGGAGGGAGACGCCGCGCGTGGCGAGGAGTATACACGACTCGGGAAAGAGGCGGTGGTAGAGAGGAGCGTAAAGTGGGGCATACATCATTGAGCTCGCAAGTTGTTGGTCTACGCTGGGTCTGTCACCGGAGACGATTCGCGGGAACCCAGCTATAGACAGTTTGCTGTAAAACGTTATTCAGACACTGAGCAGCTTGCAAAATGTCTCGTTTACTACAACTATGACAAATAAAGATTGCACATAAATTTTCAATAGCGCAATCGTTCATGTACCAAATCCACCACGTCTTGTCATAAGGATGTTGAAACACAAATCAGGCTGTATAGTCCGCACGGTGTAAAACTTTAATTTTGAGATATCTGTATAGTTCGCGGTTGATATTCAGGAAAACAAATTGGATTTCGTTCAATGCTTTGTTCGTTTGTTTTGTAGGGTGACTCCGGAGGTCCTTTGCTGGCGCTGGGAGCCGACTTCCGCTGGGGCGTGGTGGGCGTGGTGAGCTTCGGCATCGAGTGCGGCGGCCGCTTTCCGGGTGTCTACACCAGAGTCACCACCTTCCTGCCCTGGATCGACAAGAACAGGGACTGAGCCTCCCGCTGTGTGACACTTGCACTTCCAGGAGCTGCAACTTTAGAATACGGGGGTTCACCGCGCTTTGTTCGGAGTCTCGGTGACGTTGTTGAACTTGGGGAAAACAACGCCCTAAGGATATTCTACTTTCGTACTTTTATGAGTCAGAAGGGTACACCTAAATACGCTCTGAACTTTTCTAAATATTTGTTTTTTTTTTGGTAATTGGACGTATGTTACAAAATAACTATTCCACCCTCCCCCGATCGAAACGCAAAACAAAAAAGAAGCAGCAACATATTAACGTTGCGAGACACATTTTGAGTTAGAAGCAATAACAAAACTTCTTTACATTCCCAGAGGTTGATACCTAGACATAACCCTATACGTTTTGGGATCGCTCAAATAAGTACAATTTCATCGTGAATGTTGCGCTAAAATAATATTCTGGGGAAGGTTTATTTTGTAACGTACGTGTCCTATCCAGGTGCACGAAAATGTGTACGTAGGAGAGTATCGTTTTAGTATGGTTTTATTATATCAAGTATGCTTTTGATGTATTTTAGGGGTCCGTTTTATTCTAGCGTTGTGGTTCGCGCGTCGACCCAGTCTGGTAACTCAGATGTACGTACTATACGTATACGGTTCATGTTCTATTAGTAAACTAAAACGATACTTAAAGTGTGCTTTATGAAGTGTCCCTTGGAAGCAACGAATTGTCATGTGTCACTTTTTGCCGCAAATAAGAGTTAAAAATAAGGTGAACGGAGTAAAATAGCGGCATTCTTCTTTATGCTATAGATTAACGCATGAGACTGCCTGTCATTTTTGACGCGCATGTAAAAATTGCGGTGTATTTATTTTGCTTTCTGGAGTGTGACAACTGTTTTGTGGTGTTCAGTGGACACAAGCTGGATTTTGAGATTCCGGAAGTCTGTTACTATGTCCTGCAACGCTCACTTTTGTATTTATATGTGATTGACTCAGTATTTGCAAAAATATCACAAGTGCGAGTGTTTATACATGTTTACACATAAGATAAACATTATAAGACTGAATGTTCGAACTATTTATTCCCCATTTCATGACACATATTCGTTTATTTAACATAAAAAAGAATTAACCTTGTCATTGCACATAAGGCGGGCATACTTTTACTCCTTTATGTTCCTGGTAATAAAATTTACGCTGGCAGCAATGTTATGATTCTCGATTGAAAACTGAATACTCGGACTAAGATTGATAGACGTATTTGGGGAATAATGACACCTGTCTCATTCGCATCCTCGTGAGTGACGTTCCATCGTTCCAAAATATCGCGCTTAACTTGGTCTCTCGCTCGGTAGCCTCGGTAGTTTAGATAGGGTCGCATACGCGAAAGATTACGATTACCAACCAGTTCATAACGTAGATTTCGAGTTTTTTTTTTTTTTTTTTTTTTTTTTGCCATTTTGAAATAGGTGGTTGTACTGAGTAGACCGTTCTGATACCTCCGATAAAGATACCCGATGCTCCGCTGACGCTTCTTGCGCGTGCATGGCATCGTTATCAGAGGCGTGGGAATGATCTGCTAAAACTCCCTATTGCGTCGCCCTTCCGCTTACTTTCTAATCTCTGCCAAACGCAGCACTGGAGCCAAATCTTCTTGCGCTGTACTCTGGTAGGGCACCGATGGAATACCAGCACTACGGCTTCGTTATCAAGGAGGAGTTGCTTTTTTACCAGCCTCAAGATTGTTCGAAGGAAGATCTTTGTTCTCACAATATTTTTTCACGTGAAACTTTATTTGGAGAGGTGTTCGGCATTTCGTTAAACCCAAAACTGAAGCGTGGATAAAAGTGTGTCCTCAAAACTCGACACTGATCGCTTTTTTTTTTTTTGGGGGGGGGGGGGGGGGGGATGTCATGGCTGTAAGGAAAGCGTTTGCGCCAGGCGAGAGTCCAACCCAGACCATTTAGATTATCGTCAAGTGTCTTTATATCATGTCATGACACATCGGCGTGAGTTGAGGCGCTATTTAACGCCTCACCTCACGCCCGTGTAACATTTACGCTGTTTCGAGATGAACACATGCCAACTAGCCCAGTTATCCTGTCTATTGAGTAGGGTGTTGGCAGAGATGTGACAAATTTCTCATCGAGCCTAGTACACAACCTCGTTTTCATCTTCCCTCGGGTATTTCTTGACTATCTCCACTCCTCTTTCTTGGTGACCGGATGTAACATGGACAGCGTGGCGTCATCCAGTGTGGGAGGGGCAATGTGCCAAGTCTTCAAACTGAGCAAAACAAGAAAAGAGTCCTTGCCTTATACTCCCGTTGTGAACTTTCATACGACTACGATACATCCGATCAGCGCGGAAAACGCAGCAGCTGCGCAGCATAAAGAGAAAACTCCGCCAACCTTTCAGAACCGAAGACATAGCTCTTCATTTCGCAGACACTCGCCCTGTATTCATCACTTCTCACCCTTTTTGAACCGTAATTGTGCACGATTAAATTTTATAACTATTTTATTTTTCTCCGAGCACGGTTGATGGTTTAGGGGTGATCATTATCTTTTCGTCATCAGCTTTTTCAAGCGATATTGGAAAACTATTTATTTATTTTATTTCTTTTGCCTTGTACCCTCTTCATTGTGAGCGCTTATAGCAATGTGATGTATATATGTGAGAGGCGTCTGTCATTCAACTGTGTTCAGTAAATAAACAAATACATCAAACACCATGAGCGAGTACTGTTTACAGCGTGCTTTAGCAATAAATACATTTTTGGTAGAACGTGTTTTTTTATTATTGAATAAATTTGCGATCCTTGAAATATTCCCTCAATAAATAGTTGCAAAAAAGTAAGTTTACGAAAAATAATTCATTTTTAAACAACCTTACTGACGGAGCTCATATTGCCGTGTATGTTGCGCAGTTGATAGTGCGCACTGCTGCCACGTGGAGGTATGGTGGTTAAGCTTTTGTCAGTTTTTTATTTTGCCAATATCTGCTATTCTGGAAAGTTCCAGTTGCGACATACCTGTCATATTGAGACAGTTCAAAAATTTAACTTGTCTCGATCATTCTCAAAAACCCGGGGAGCACGGAATCTGTCGAGAGTGTATATAACTCGTGCTTTACAATTTGTTATTCTTGCTTACGGGGAACGTCGAATGGTTTCGGATGCATCTTTCACGCAACAGGCCTGTGGGCTCCCCTGTTTATGTAAATAATCGAGACAAGGTGAAGTTTTTGAGGTGTGGAACATGCGAGAATCGGGCTTCCACAAGTTGTGTGCGCTACATTATTCTAGGGGGTGTTGCCTCGGTGGGGGGCTCGCAAAGAACGAAAACCAAGACGAGCGGCAATAGCGTTTGCGTCACGCATACTTACTGCCGCAGAACAAAACCACGCACAAGTGGAGCGCGAAGCATTGGCCATAGTTTTCAGCGTTAAATTATACCGCAACGATTTTTTTTCTGGCAGCAGTTGGAGATCGTGACTGAACACCAAGCTTCGATGAAGCTGCTTGACCGAGGGCGATTTCATGTGCGCTTCGCATAGAGTGATGTCAACTGTCTGCTTCCCTCTTCCACACCCTCTTCCACCGCCATTTTGTTCGTCTCATTGCTTCCCGTGCGCCGAAAAGTGGCCTTTGTGTCATCGGTCCTCTCATCCGAGAGGGAAAAGGCTAATCCTCCCTCCGTGGGTTCCACAACGCTGCTCCGAACTTGTGATATATAGTGCTTGTTTCCGGGAGGGTTATAAGCCCCACGGATTATCGCCGAGAACCAAAATGGCTGCTGGTTTGTCGGCGAGTGGTATTACAAAGGGTGGCATCACCCTAGCAAAGCGTACATGAAGGCTCCCTAGCTTGACCCACAAAGGCATTCTAGTCAAGTGGTGGCAGCCAGGGCACAGCGTTGGAAAAAATTGTGGACTGCATATCGATATACCATTCGGTATAAGCGAGGCCAGAGTGTGGCGCATGCCGATGGCTTTTCGAGACGGCCGTTGGAAGTGACTGCCGGGGAGAAGCAGCAAATTGATTTCTTTTCACCGTTAACAGAAATTCCATTCACGGCACGGGAGGTGGCTTAGGAGGCATAAAAGGATGAAGTGCTAAGAGCAGTGGGGAACATGACGTGGGGCGGCTGGCCGAACGAAACGGAGGTGAATTTCCGGCCATACTTCAGCTGTCGTCACGAGCGTTCCATTGAGAAAAGCGGTTTGTTGTGGAACATTCGAATCGTGATTCCACAGATTCTAAGGCCAAGCGTGCCCTTCCTAATGCACGAAGGGCGTCCAGGTATTAGTAAAATTAAGATGCTTGCTCGTAGTTGGATTTGGTAACCAACACTTCACGATGGTTAAAAAAAAAACGTTTTCAGGTGTGCTAAAGCGTGCGAAGTGCAGTGCCGTCTGTACCACTTCAGCCGTGGACCATAACGGACAACCCCTGGGAAAAGGTTCATTCATGCTTTCCGGAATGTAAAAGAAAGACCTTGTTGTTAACGGTAGATACCTTTTCCAAGTGGCTACAGAGAAAAATCATGAACCGCATTACAACGTTAGCCACGGTGGACGCCGTACAAGGGGCATTTGCCGCATATGGCCTACCCAGGGTTGTCGTAACATATAATGGACCATGGTTTAGATCGCAATAGTTCGAGCGATGTTTGAGTGAGAATGAGGTAAGGTAACTGCTTACGCCACCATATCATCCACAATCTAATGGTGTCGTTGAACGATCAGTAGAAACTACCAAAAGGGGATCCTCGAAAGCCCAACCAGAAGACGAAAAGTTCTGGCGCAAGTGCACGTTGCACCACCGGATCGACCACTTTTTGTTCGCCTATTAAACGGCACCCTCCTCATTCACGGAAAAAACACCAAGCGAATTGTTCCCCGGTTGGGAATTCGGACACGAATGTCCATGGTCAAACCATGCGCGGTGACAGCATGAAAAAATAACGCGGAACGGAACAAGCTCATGTTGGACGAAAAGAGGGGAAGACGGCGTCAGATTTCAAGGGGCCAAGAAGTGTATGTAAAAGCCGTGCGAAACGAAGAAGTGAATTGGTGGCCGGGAAAAGTTGTGAAAAGGGTGTTGAGTGTTACATTCTTGGTGCTTGTAGGTGGTGGTGTTTGGATTTGTCACGCGGATCACCTCCGATGTAAAGGGGAGGCGCCAAGGGCCTCCAAGTATGATATTTCACTGCATGACGAGGAGACAAATCAAGAAGAAATAAGTCAGGATCAACCTGAGAAAAGGGACAGTAGAGGAACCGGCTTCATCTCCGCAGCAAGTAGAATCCGTAGGGCCCTCGGGAATCCACTATTCCTAAACAAAAGCCTGACCTATATGGCTACACCTGATATATCTGTGGTCCTATATAACATACCATGGTTGCGAAATTAGGGGAAAGACGTGTTGTATTTTTAGTCCAGTAGGGGGCTACAGGTGGTTGCTGCTATAGTGTGAAAACACTGTGTACTGAGAGAAGATAACACCCCCGGAGGGTATGTCTTGTATCTTTCCTGCTGTAGCGGCCAAACGTCAGCATTAAACTGGCCTCTGACCTAACCTGTGTCTAAAAACATGTATGTTTTGTTTATGATTCGTTCGGCGATGATAGAACACGTAAAGAAACATGACGAACACCACGATTGTCGTTTGACACTGTGACAATGGTCCTATCAGCTCGTAGCGTCGGCTGCCTCTGGACGTAAAGTGAAGCGAGCATTGAGTTCTTTGGCTTTTCAAACAAATAAAAAGGCACCAGCTTCCACCGTCCGCATTTAAAAACAGGAAGTGCTTTTTTCACTGCCGCATCTTACTATCTCTGTCCCGATCAAGAGCCTTTAGTTGTACGCAGACTCTGGTCATACAGAGCACTTTCACATCGATAAATCCATGCAGGTATGATCGGAATATTGATGGTTCAAAACGCAAATTGGTCAATGGTCAGGCACCAGGACAGGCATACCGCAAACGTTTGCCTGCATGTGACAAGGGTTCACAAAGACCTTCACGCAAATCATGAATTCACGGGCGACGTCACCTCTCCTCGATGCACGAGCGGACCCGACGATGCCTAATTCCAGCTGTGGCCCTTCGTGCCCAGCGGGAACGATACCGGTCGGTTGTTTACCGTAGACATGTGCAGCGGCGGAAGGTTGCCGCCGGCGTCTGCTTCTTCACTTGTTGACACGGCAATCCGGTCGAGCGTCCGCACGTGTCGAGAAAACGTTGGCAGTCGAGCCGATTTCACCTTGAAGACAAGACCCGCTAATTGCGCCATGAATAGCAAATCGCCTAACCGCCCCCAGTGTTGCTGCATTGCTACACCGGTATACCCACATCAAAAAGAAACTTTTTTCTCCTTTTCACGAAGTTACAAAATATCTTACACAAGGGCCCTCCTGCTTGCATTTTTAGCTAAAAAAACAAACAAAAAAAACTGCGTTTTTACGATGTCGACTTTTCTGTTTAGAAAAGATTGTTTCTCCAAACTTCAATGGCAGATTATATGAAGCGAGGTAAAAAGAAAAGAAAAACTGAAAATTAGATAATTATTATCGTTGCAGAGCCCTTCCCATACCCAACACACACTGAGAACCTAAATATAAATGAAAGTTCCAGCTCCGGTGGGAAAGACTGGAAGTGCGAGAAGTACCAATGGTTTCCCACCCTATCTATTTTCCTCTATACTGTGTACGAACATTGTAGGTGTCTTATGTAAAAGTAGTAAGTGCAACGGCAAGCACGTCAGATGGACAGTGCAGAGCCTAGAACTGGAACTGCGTTTACATCAACAGCGGTCATACAGTTCTCTTTTATCTTTTCACGACGGTCTTTACACTATAAAAAAGATAGGACCACTGATTTCTTTCTAAAACC